AGCAAGGAAGCTCAAAACATTTTTTTTTTTCTCTCATGGTACTCTAGACACTGATTCTAATATGTAGCCCTTTCTCCCTCTCAATTTAGTTTTCTAGATGGAGACTATGACAGAGATAGTTCACCAAACCCCTTTTCCTTTTTTCCCTGGGCGTACTGTAGACTACGTTTCCCAGCCTTCCCTGTGGTTAATGAGGCCATGAGACTGAATTCTGTCCAATGGAATGTGGCGGAAGTGAAATATGCCAATCCAGGCCTGGCTCTAAAGCCTCCCCCAATTCTCTGCATGCTCTCTCTAGCTCACAGCTGCATACAGAGGATCTGGAGGAGGACTCCACCATAAGGGACAGGGGAGCAAGAAACTTGGATCCCCGAATGACTCTAGAACAAAGCCTCCTTCCACTCCAACCTGCACTAGACTGTGACATGAGGGAAAAATAAATATTTGTTGTATAAGAGTCAGAGATCTGAAGGCTGTTTTTATAGCAATTAGATATGCTGACTAATATAAGTATTAATAGTAGATAGCCCACACAATTATTATAATACATTTTTAAAATTATCCTTCCTACCAAGATTTGCATTTCCATCTTCAAAAGTGTAGAAACTAATGTTTAAGCTTTAAAGGTTTTAATCACCCACTTTGGATCTAACTGTAATGTGTTATGAGTTTCAGGTCTGTGGAAATTCTCTAGAAAAACCTAAACATTTCTGAACTCATCTGCAGAAATACTCAATTATCCATCTATGAGAGTACACATAAATGTGTAGCTCTGATCACTCTGACCACCCTGAAAGGGAGATAAAGTACAAAGACTCTTAACATTGAGATATTATATCTGAAAGCTACAGATTTTCTTCTATAGGTTGGTATTAATAGCTGTAGTGTTAGTATTATTCAAATGTCCAAATTTCCAAAAGAATCAAAAGTTTGATCAATAAGAAACCATTTATTAAGAACTTACTGTGCCAGGCACTATGCGACTTACATATATTATTACATTTAATCTCCAGTATTCTTATCCTGATTTTCCCAATGTGAACACTAAGGCTTAGGAGAGAGTTCTGGCATTAGGAGACAATTCTAGCATTGTCTCTAAGGCTAGAGAGGTTAAAGAATTTGTTCAGAGTCATATAACTAGCAAACAGCAGAACCAAGATCTGAATTTAGGGTTGCCTACCTACAAATCCTTGCTCTTTCTGCTACGCTAGTGACTCTAAAACTAAAGAGGGGGAGAAAAAGTACATGTAATTGGGAAAAGCATACTTGCTACTGGAACTGTGTATATCAAACATAAAAATAAAAAATGAAGCACTGTTTTCATATACAAACTACAGAGAAAAGAGCTCAACAAAATCTTCTTGGCTATCTTAGATACCCAGTGGATTCTGTATTGTGAATATTCCTTTGGGCAAAACAATGGTGTGGGGCATTGAAGAAGCCACATTAACTATTTTTGTTTAGGGAGAGGGTTATGGGCTATTAAAAAAAAAAAGTAATGTTAGTATACTATACTGTTTCACCATTTGACAAGCATGTTTTAACAAGCTCATTCTTTGTAAGAATTACAATTGTATCAGAAAGGAAAAACATCTGGGTTTAAAGAAATTATTAGTACCTGTGATAAACGAAGTGTACTGGCTTTGCTTTCAAGTTCAGCAAGTCTTGCAGTGGTAGTAGACAACTGTCTTTTCAATACATCTGTCTCTTCAGACAAGGATTTCAACAATTGTTCCCTCCTTTCACCTTCTTTTGTTTTCTCTTCCAGCTGTTCAAGCAATGCAGTAGTACTATATCTGGCTTTCAGCTGGTCTCTGAGTCTCTGTATTTCTTTGTCCTTCTCCGTGAGTTGATAAGCATTTTTCTCCCTCTCAGCTTCGAGGATTCGAATTTTCTACATATAAACTAAGAAGAATCTTAGGGCAAAGCCAGATCAAACATGAAAGTAAACAGTATACTATAACCAGCATTTATATATCAAGTCAGCATTATACTAGATACTAGGGCCAAAAAAAAAAAAAAGATGAAGCCAAGAACTTATGCTCAGAGAGCTCAGGGAGGTAAACAATACATAATGCAATATGGTAAGTGCTGTAGTCAAAATATATATAAAATGAATGGGACACAAATACAGAAAGGAGAAACCAACTCTGTCAACAGCCGTGAAAGAAAGGTGGCTTTCACATGAGTATCTGAGAATCATCACTCTATCCCACCAGTTCTAATAATCATAAAGGCTAAAATTGAGTCTCACAAGAGATACATGCTCACTGATGACCTCGAAGTAACACCTTAAAATTACAGAACATTCGTAGCTGGATAAAAATGCATTCACTAACTCACTTTGTCTTAATAAATAATTTGATATCAAATCTAGAAGGTAAGCTTCAAAGGAGTGCTCAACATTTTCAAGAACTTGAAAGATAAAGAAGGCATGCTTGTTATACTGCTTCTGGCATAAGAAAGTACTAATAGAGATAATAAAAGAAGTTAACAGAATGACTACATGCTAGCAAGGTAAAAACATCATAAAACTAAAAACTTGCATGGGAGGAAGCAGTTGTTCAATTATAAAACAGGGATGGTTTTGTGAAATTGATGAAGGGATTTTAGTCAGCTATAAGCTTAAGATAAAGCAGTAATATAAAAAAAAAAGCCAACACAATTTTAGGCTTTTATGGAATACAGCATCCAGATCAGTGAAAATAACAGTATCACTTCAATCTGTGTATGCCACTGTGTACAGTACCAGGTGTATAATTCAGAAGGGATATGAACACACTACCAAGCGTTCAGGAAAATGACCAAGATGATAAGCCAGAAAAGTTGAAGAATAACAGGTTGTTCCACAGAAAAGCAGCAGCAAGATTTCCTTTAATATCTGAAAAGCTGTCGCTTAGATAAAAAACAGACTTGCTCTATATAGCTTTAATGGGCACAATTAGAACAAATAGGTAGAAGTTAAAGTTTAATTTCAATTGATTATAAAGGAACAGAGATTTGACAACCAGTGCTCATCAAAAGTGGAATGAACTGGAAAGAGATCTTTCAAGCTATGAGAGTCCTTCACCAAATTGCAAAATAATCTTTATGTCTAAGAATTGGTGATAGATCATTTCTCAATGCTTGAACAAGCATTTACCTCAATATGTGTTGTTAAAAATAATCATCCAGTTTTATGATGGGCCTATAAAATAGAATTCAAAGAAATCCAATAATACTAAATAATAAAAGTCATTTATTTTCTAACTATGAACAATAAAAGTACTTACACAAAATAAATTAAAATCAAATTAATGATAACATTTTTAAAACCTTCCAGTTCTAATAAATTCCTAACTACTTTATGGACTATACCATAATAAATTTTAAATTAGGGAATCTGAAATATAGTGTAACAGAACAAAAAATGACAATATATGTAATGATTTTACCTCAAAAATTCTGAAAGCAAAGATTACTTGGAACACAGTAATATTTATCAATACACATGATAAAGTGGAATTTTAAATATTCATGTTAAAATCTGAACTCCATTTAACACTTCGAAATGATATTTGATTTTTTACATTTAATGAACAGAAAAACTAGATTATACCAATATTGGGAAAATACTTTCTCATCTCTTACCACAATTTAAAGGGTTTGTAAAGCCATTTACCTCCAAAAGTCTGTGCCTCTCTTTATCAGTCAGCTTTCCTTTCCCACTTGTGAATTCCTCCATGGATGCTTGTAAGGCTGCAGTTTTTCCCCTAAATTTTTCTAATGCAGTCTCTGACTTGGAGTTACTAGGCTTTGATCCCCATTTACTTTTAATTAAATCTTTGGGACTTCTGGAAGACATCTCTGAAATTGTAAAAATAAAAATACAATTATACTTTATAAGTGAGTTTAAAAGGTCAAATCTCAGGTCTGATGTCTAATAACCTATTTGCTAAATAGAAGAACCTTTCTATTGAAAACTGATATAGCCAAACCACTGGGTTATGGAAGAGGAAGTGTGAACTGAATCTGAGTTATTTTTTTCATCCACAGTGCCTAACAGCAGATGGTTAAAAAATACTCATGGATTGGCTGAAGTGATTTAAAACATGCTGGACCAGAGGTGACCAAAGAAACATTATCCAGCAAACGTCACAAGGCATCTTTTACAGGACACGTCTTCTACACGTGGAAGCAAATCTTACAATATTCTCACATAAGATATCATTTGGGGAGACAGGCAAAGAAAAACTGCAAAAAGGGGCACGTTTTTCCTCATCTCTAAAATGAATACGTTTGCGGAATAGACATGAAAGTGCTTTTAGTAATCGGAAAAATGCTGTACTAACGAAAGACCCTGGCTTCTCTGCGCCTGTCTCTAAGGGGATGGTAACACCCACCGCAAAGTTGAAAGACCGGATCGAAACAACCACGGTCGTTGAGGCGCCGAATCCGGTGCCAGGCACCAAGTGAGCGCCAGGCAAAGAGACTTAAATCAAAGCGGGCAGAGATTAAGTCCAAGCCAACATGATCTGCCCACTGACCCCGCCCCCCTCGCGGTGCGGTCCGGCCCTGCCCCGGGGCTGCGGGCCCTGGCCGCTCCTCGCCACCCTCCGCGGTCCCCTTCCCAAGGACAGCCAGCACCTGAGGCAAAGCGCAGGGTTCGCGTGGGCCCAGTCACACCGCCGGTGCAACGCCGCTTCCGGGAGTTTGAATCCCGCGGCTGCGGGGCGGGGCACGTCACTGCCGGCGGGGACGCATCGGCAGGAAGGAGGGGCGGCACGCGCGGTGGGGTTGCGGCTCCCCGATTGGGTGAGGCCCCTAAGGGGCGGGGCCTGGAACCTGAATGCAGGATGAGGGTGGAACCTAGACGGGCGGAGGCGGGGATGGGACCTCTTCTTCCCCGGGCAACCAGGCTATTCTGGAGCTTTCTCTTGGTTTTTCTCAGGGCTTAAACTTCAAGCTCGGTGTTTCTTTGTAAGGAGCTAACTTGTGTTTATCCGCTTTGGGGATGAAGCAAATTCCTGTGTTCAATGAGGTAAACATAGTGACTGTGACCTAGAACTAACTCGTTCTGTCCTTGAGCATAATTCACAGTTTTAAGTTCCAGTTTCTGCGCTATATAAAACGGAAAAAGTGGGTTCCACAAGGAAGCACAGCCCCTCTGCCTTCCCCTAGGGCTGAGCCTTTATCCTGACAAAAGTCTGGGGTGGAGCAATCCGGAGTGTGGCAGGTGGGAGAACTGACAGGCAGGCCCAGGTTGAAGACTGAGATCTTGAACCCTAGAGAAAGAGAGGCGTTTGCTCGAGGTTGCTGCCCTCTGGTTTAGGAGCTATCTATCGGTCAAGTCTAGGTCCTGGTTAGCCACTTGAGGACTTTATTGCTAAAGAAGCACAGAATGTGTTTGGCCGGGCCTACCTTTCAGACCAAGCACAAACACCAGAGATTTAAAACAGTAGATAAAAGGATATAATAGCGAAACATTCTAAGAAAGCAGTGTGACACACTGGTTAAACTCTAGATTAGGATTGAGTTTAACTCCTGACTACCTCTAATTACCTACGTGATCTTGAATAAGTTATTTACTCTCTCTGATCTTCAGTTTCCTGATCTGTTAAATGATGCAAATAATAATACCTACCTCATAAGGTGCTTATGAGAATTAAATTGATGTTAGCCATTATTACACAAAAAGCTTCCATGTTACTAAATAAAATGGATGAGAACCTGTAGAGAATTTTAAAGAATTTTTTTATATGATGCAAGAAGATAAAAGTTTGGTCTCTGTTTCCAGGGAGTTCACATTTCTGATGGAATGGTGAAGAAAACTGAGCTCTCTCATGTCTGTTGTGGTGAAATATCAAATGAGATTAAGGTGGGAGGAAATCAGGGCAAAAGATAAGTGAGGATGCGAATGTTATTCATTGTCCAGAGTTGAGTCAAGGGCAAAATAATTTTCCATAGAAATTTACAAAGATTTTTTTAGGAGGAGGAGAATCCCCCTGCTCAGTTTTGAGCCTGATGGAGAGTAAAGAAGAGAGGGAATGGGAGGGACTGTGAAAAGGGATAACAGCTGGCCGCTGGGGGCCTAATGTCTGTGCCTACTGGGTCAGACACCCCAAGGATACATCTGCTCCCCAGGTTCTTCTCTGGCAGGAGCTCCCCTTGGAGCTCCATAATGAATCTGACAAGTCCAATGACTGAAAGTAACCTCACAGGGTGCTCTGATCATAAATTCCTAACTGGACAGGTCAGGTGAGCAGTCATGCCCCAGGCATATAACTTCTTTGCCTTAAGCAAGCCTTGTCCATTGTTCTTGGGTTAATACAACTTTGAAATGCCAAAGTAATCTCTTTTAAACCCTCAAGAGAGCACATAATCTTTACTATCCTGTACCTTGCTTTTTCCCACCTTCATGTAATCTTCCAGAGTGCCTTCCTTAACTCCAAATGTGTAAAAGAAATTGCAAAACTGTCATTCTCCAAGCATTTGAGTTCTTGCTTCCTAGCAATGTTGTCACTTTGGTTCAATTAAACTCATAAAAATTTTCTATAGGTTTGGAAGCTTCTTACATCAACACCTGTGACTGGGGATACCTAAGGAAGAAGAGCAGGCAGGATGCTCGTTAGCCTGGTAGCTTTAATTTTGTAATTGTCATTAGACTTGAAAATCAATGTTATCAATGTTTGCTCTTCTCGAATAGGTGCCTGGCATGAAGTGTGAGTAGCTGGTAGTTTGCAGCACAAGGCCTCACAAGGCGGTGGTGCTTTGATGTTGACAGTTTACTCCAAGGAATCCAAGGACAAGGAGTCAAAATTCAACTTTATACATTTACAGAGAGAAATGTAACAGCCTAACAGATTGGATATCTTCTCTGGCTGGCTAATCTCATATGGAAGAATTCTTATTAGCCAGTCTGTAATATTTCCTGACTTGGTTCTTGACTCAGGGTACATTCTATTTGAAGAGAACAGCTCTCTGGGCACTGACTGCTCTTCCTGTCTTAGCTCCTTTTAAAATTTAATTTTTACTCTGTGGAGTTATTAAAATTATTGACATAAGAATGTCCAAACCTGTAGAGAATTTTTATAAGAGTTTTTTAGAGTTTATTTGAGCCAAATAGGACACGTCTGGCAAGAAGATCTCAACAGATGCTTCTAGAATCACAGTCTGCAGTTTCTTTTATACATTTAGAATTAAAGAGGGAGTATAAGGAAGATTAGAAAACAAGGCAGGGAAATCTCCATGATTGGATTACAGGATCCTTAACAAGATCGCATGCTTTCTTGAGGGTGGTTATTCTTCCCAGGGAGCTGAAAAAGGTGTGTTTAACTAGATGCACAAAAACAATGGACAGGTCTTGCTTAAAGTAAAGATAATCTTCTACTAGGGAAGTTATAGGTCTGACGCAAGGTGTTTATCTATCAAACATTACATTTTTCCATAAAAGTGAGCACAAGACTTAAAATAGTTCTTTTTCCTATTCTATTTCTCTAGTTTTATTTTAGAAAATATGTCAATACTTGTAGAAAGTCAGATTCATTCCTGTCATATGTTTAGCTCTTCCAATTGCCTTGAATAATGACAATATAATGGTACAGAGTGTTATAAAATACTTTATTCTCTCCTGCCCTCCATGTAGATTTAGTCGCTGCCAGGCATGCTTTTTTTAAGGAACAAAATATAAATATACTATATATTATTTCAAAATAGCATCTATCACTATGCCAAACTCTATAATTAAGCTACTAAAAGTAGTTTTAGTTTTCAGCCAAAATAATTCTTAAAGAAGTATTTCAGCAAACAGATCTTAACAATGGACCCCCTGTGGGTGTCAGTTTGACAATTGCTGTTGGGTAATACCTAAGATTCTGTAAAACTGGAATTGGAATAAGATATCATGAATCTATCTTCATTTCTTGTCTGTTAAATCCTCTTTGCTACCTTGATTACTTTGCTCCTCATGTCTAGATTTTTTGCCAAGTCTCTCCTCTCTAAATAGTTCCTTTTCTCTGTCCCTTTTGCCTCAATGCTCCAGGACAGGCCTAAGGTCACTCACATGGACTAATTAATGCATGAATTTACTTGACAAAAAATGGTAAGGAATAATGAAATGGCAAAATATGAGATCTCAGCTGAGAGGAAGTTGGAAAGGGAGCCGGGCTCAGAAAACAGTGAGTTTGGTTCCTGGCTCAAGTTTTTAACTCTTCTAAGTCTCAACTTAGTCAGCTGGAAAGATGACCCCAGGAGTCCTAGCTCCCAGCATTGTTAAAAGCAGTACATGATAGGTGTGAGACGTGGTCTCCACTAGCCAAGGGATTTTCAAGGGCTGGCTTATTCTCTACTGAAGCCCCAGCACCCGATATACAGTTCTTGCAGATGCTCAAGTATTCGTTGAACAAACAAACATATTTATGAATAATTAGCTGATCACTGTGTTAATTTACTCTTAAGTCCAACTCTTACTCTTACATATCTTTTCCAAAAGGAAATATTTCTCAAGTGTTTTTCTAATAGTGTTTGTTGGAACTTTATAGATTTATATCTGACACATGATTGCCTTGGTAAATGATGTGTTTTCCAGCCTCTGCAGGACAGAGTCATGTGGTGGATTTTCTCATCTTACACAATTTATCCACTCTATAATGCCCACATTTTTGAGCATTTTAATCTGTCTGCCAGAGAAATCTAGATATTTCTCCCGTACTTAAGGTAGTCCACTGTTTTTCCATGCTTCTAGGAGCAATCCTGGCAGTATGTTCACACCATTTCCAGGAGCCTTGCCACATGTGAAATCCAGTATCCCAAGAGAGTGCACCCGTATTAATAAACTCTCTTTTATCCAAATTTATGTTCTGCACTGCCCCTTGATCTTGTACCCTTAGAATCCAGTCTCATACGTACTCTTCCATCACCTGTCAGGACACGGTGGCTGTGTCTTGTAGTTTATTCAGGTTGTCATGCCTTTCTGTTTTCAGCAGAACTAACACATTCTCAGCAGAATTATGTTGGGACTTAACCCTAGATACTGGTCTAGTGGTCAAGTGGAGAAGTAAAGGCAGATCTGGAGAGGAGAACAAATTGTTCTGCAGAGGAGAGGCCTGTATGTCATCTCCAGGCAAGCTGGAGGGGCGCTTGTCCTTAATAAGGAGAAGCACACTACTCCTACAGGTTTAGAGTTCAGGGGAAGCTTGGGATTCAAGATTTTCAAGGGCATCAATCCAGACTTCCATATATCAAGGTCCTATTCTTTCCCAAGCAAAGCCTTGACCTTGTCATAGGAGAATGTATTGGTTAGGAGCTCAATCTTCTTTGAAGCTTGGTTTCTTTTATGACCAAGTCCTAGTTCTGATCCTGAGCTTTTCACACCCTCCTGCTGTTGGAGGGAGGCCCCTCTAACTTTTATTCTTAGCTTTTTATTGATGATCAACATTCTCAACCTTTTGTTACCCTTTTCTAGAGTATCAATTGAATTTAGCAATAGCCACCCAAATCCAAGTCCTTACAGTTATTATTTCCTCCAATTTTGTCAGCTACCTGGCATATGGCACTAACTAATGCATTCCCTTCCATTGAT